AAAAAAAAACTTGTTTTTCATTTCTAGAAAATGTAGCGCACCTCCCGAAGTTTCGCTGAAATTAGTGCATGGCCTTGTCTTATGATTTATTGAGGGCACAAATTTCCTAAAAAAAATCGGAGAGGAAAGGTTGTAAAGTAGTACGTTTTCGTTTCTCCATGATGTAATGTGGAAGGTCTTGCTAGTTTGTCTCGGAAATGGGTTGGGGCGCTTGAAGTGAACTATTGCTGCGATTTGATTGGGATGGAAGTGGAAAATGTCAACCAAATTCACCCCGACCATCATTAAAACCGAAAGTTCATATTGTCCCGTCATAATTTCATCTTTTTGATTTGCTCGGTGGTGGGAAGTTAAGGTTTAGCGAAGAATTATGCAGATTATTTCATCAAGGGCTGATTAGATGAGGTTCTGTCGCTGATGATTTCCCTAGATAATCTTCTGATGATTGTATTCTTCTGTCAATCAGCAATTAGTCCACGTTCATCGTTAATCAGAAAGCTTCGCCAATTGTTACAGTTTTATTTTACAAAGTTATCGACAACATCCTCCCCCTCCCCCCTAATTGATCTTTCAAAGAGGGAATTAAAATAATTGCTTTTAATAAAATGCCAGTCGAGCAAGGCCTTAAATGTAGGGTCTGACCCGCTGGACATTGTTACACCTCTACATTATGGCAATTAATAAAGATTCATTTAGGGACTGGCTTTGAAATCGATCTGTGGACTTTGTACCGTTGTAATTCAGACATGTGAACGTCACTCGTATCACCTGTCGTCCCCTTGATTATCAATTTGCTTGAGCGGGTTCCAGTAACATTCCAATTTATCCTTGTCGCAAACCAATTTGCTCCGGTGAGCCTTCCTCGCTTGATGAACCGAAACGTTTCTCTGATTAATTGTCTCCTCAAAGAAGCCAAGCCTAGTCATCAAGCAGGCGGCCTCCTCTCTAGCCGTCTTAGCGTTCGTTTGATGTCCCGAGGGAATCCGTTCAATAATCGCCGTGGTCCAGCGGTATGATAAAAACTCATGACGTGTCCGGCCCATCCGTTCTCCGATTCCTTGGCATGTGGGGCAGTGCCCTTGATCTTTGCTCGTCGACGGAGACAGCGTTTTTAGATTTCTCTCTGCTTTTGCAAGTGCTGAAAAAAACTGGTATTGCCCTTCTGGCCGCATTTTGAATGCCGCCTTCAGTCTGCTCAGCGGCGCGGAGTCCTAAACTTTTAAGGTTAAGGCGGTATGGACGACCGAGTTGCAATGTATTATGGACGAGGAATCGGACATATGGGCGCTGGAAACAAAATTTGAACAAACTTTTTTTATTATTTGAAATTTGAGTGCATTGGAGCCTCAATTGGCGTCCTCTCCATTGAAAGCTGTTTTGTGGGAATTGTCATTAACTTCTGTGGCGTGCCTTAGTTTTCCCAAAAATGAGCGCATTTTCTCTCTTCATGGCTTTCTGTGCACCCCCACCTCAAGAAATTAAATGTTAATAAAATGCTTTAGTGTCTGGTCTTAGCCACAATAACGATGTAAACTTGATTTCGAATGTTCGCCAACCGGGTTGTAAAGATTTTTTGCAAATCGAATTCATAGGCTGATTCATCATCGCAGGTTTTAATCTTCACCGGGTTATCTGATTGGCATTTAGATCGATCTTTCATGTCTGTGGTGGAAGGATTGCGTATTAGCATTTCCGCACCCTCTGCACCCTGTGAGGTTTTGATGATTTAGTACTGCGGATATTGATGTTTTATTTGAATAGTTGTATTGGTTACCTTGTTACCGTTCTTAATGAGAACCGCTCAGTCAAACTAGTTCCCTCTTAATCCCTTCATTCGATAGCAATCGATAAAAAAAGTGGAAACCTTGAACGTGGCCGTGTTTACCATATTTGTGTCGTCGGTTGTTATCGTTCTCGTTCAACCATAAAACTGAAATGTACTTGTAGTTTGTACTATTGAAGTGGTATTAACGGAGCTGAAGCAGTCTAAAAGCTTTTTGATGAGTCCTATTAACCAGGAATGTTTTCCCTCGTTTCATAATTAGTTCAATTTTGTATAGGATTACTGTGAGTCATGTAACGTATGGTACATCGCGGAAGCGGTCGCATTAGCTTTGGTGTAAGAGTGGAGAAACACGTTCTAGAACCTTTCTGATGGGCTTAACTGCCCATCTCGGAAAGAGGGAAACCAATAGGTAGGGAAGTTTTCATCTCAGCCATCCTTTAAAACTGTGAATTGGTAGAGAAGAGGAGATTTTGCTTGTGTCTATGATTAATCCCTTCTCTTCTTACCCTACAAAATATTTTGCTCAGTCGTGGCGTTTTACTCTGCTTCATTACATTTGATCCGCTCTGTTATGAAAATGGTAGCGGTTTCTATTCAGCTTTTCTACAGAAGTTTTATTTTCATTTTTAGCATTACTTTAAATTATTAACAGTTTTGCCTGCGTCTAAGAACCCAGTATCTGAATTTTATAATCAAACTAGGGAATTTTCAATTTTCTAATTGTTATCACAAGAAACTTAGCGGTGTTGGAATTCTGTGTTTACTTAGATTCATAACATCTTTTCAGTTTCAGAGGCGTCTCAGACGGTCCAGGCATGCGTAATTTACCATTGTTCGTATTTTTGGCTGGCCTCGTATTCTTCTTCTACCTTTTCTATCTTCATCAATCGCAGAGTGCTGAATATGCCATAGCTCAAGCTTCGTTAGACGATCACAAACAACAACTTCGGGTATTGAAATTAGATCTTCTGAGTAAGTTCATTACACTTGCCCTTACTACTTCACTTTACAAATTTCGTACCTTCTTCCTAACTGAGCAGTGCTTAGTGAGTGTGGAAAATTTTCTGATTATGGGACTGTCCCTAACTAGGCCTTACGACACCTTAGAGAAGCAATTTTATGGTTTTTTGAATGAGGGTCACAATTCTTTCCTTCCTTAACTTAGGTTTTTTCTCCTTAGTATTCCTTAGCTTAAGTTTACAGAGGATTTATCTTTGTACGTGTTGGTTAATAAATAGATCTTACATTAGATGCTTTTTAAGATGGTTTCACAGAGTGTTCGAGCCCACTGCTTACAGCGCTGAATTTAGTAAAGAAAGCGGTTATAGGGGCAACGTAGTTGAGATTGGCTTTATTTTTTATTTTTTTTCCTGGTTGTTACGGGCCAAAAGGAAGCACACAGAAGTTTTAATTCCTTCGTTTTCCTGTTGCAATCTATGCGAAATTTTTCTTCATGGAAATCTATTCTTCTTCTTCTGCAGAGATCTGTAAGGCTTTCCCAATGAGTGTTTGCAGAATTGAATACTGTGTTTATGTTTAACTGAGGTGCAGCGTCTAGCTCTCGCATTGTTGCCAAATTGCGCTTTATTTCTCACGCTCTTATTAATAACCTCTTCGGAACTTCATTTGGCTGGGTGTTACTTTCAATTTGTTATTTTTATGAACTTTTTGTTCAGACGCAAATGCTGACGTTGAACGGCTCAAGAGTTCGGAGAGTTCTCTCAAAGAGGAGAGGGATAAGCTCTCAAGGGAAAAAGATAGTGAGTTGACATTCTTGAAGTAAAATAGTTTGAGTATAATCTTCCCTTTCTTTAGAGTGTTCGGTTTCACTGCGTAGTGCTGAACGTGAGAGGGAAAACCTGAAAAGCGAAATAAGGTTAATTTTGTAATGTTGATTTTTGAATTGTTCAGAATTTTTGACCACATTCCAATCTTACGGCCATTTTTTTGCTTCTCTCTTCTCGATTCCTTTTCCTTGTCAATTTTTTCGTTTTTTTTTTAGAACTCTTCGTTTTAGCATTTAATTTCGCACACCTCTTTTGCTTTTCTTTTCTTTGCTCTCTTATAGTCTTGATTTCTTGTGCATTATCACGTCATACTTTTCAGCAAGAAAGCCAGCGAAAATAGCGAACTGAGCACTAAGCTTGTAAGTTTTTCTTCACCCGTCTTTTTTTTTTTTTTGCACAAGCGTGAGGGAACTCATTGTTTTTTGTTTTGTAGGAGGAAGCTAAAAAAGAGCTGGAGGAGTTGAAAAAGGCTATAGCTGCTAAAGAAGCGGCTGAAAAGGAAAACAAGGAGACTTCACCGAAGTGAGTGCAAAATTTCTGTCCTATTTGTTTATTTATTCATTTGTTTATTAATAATATGAATGCGATTATTTCTGTCTTATCCCCAATTTTAATCTTATATACTCTTCATGCTAGGGTTACATAGATTCACTCATTCCATTCTCAGCCATTAGCATTTCTTTTTCGATTTCTTACTCGAAAGTCTTCGCTAGTGTTTTTCTTGCTACACAGGATGAGTTCATTTTTTCTGAAAGGTGGTCCACTAACTTTTATGAAATCTCCTTCTCTTCTTCCTGTTTTGTTTCACTACACTTGTGGGTTCGTTTATTTGATTCCGTTCCAAAAGCAGTGAGATCCCAGACGATCAGAATGAGCGATTCTTTTCTACTGCTATTACTTTCCTGCATCTCTTATCTGGAATCTAGTGAAATTGATCTCTCCCCCTCTAAATACATCTTCTATTGGGGTGCCATTCAAAATAGGGGTCAGGGTTTATACATATATGTCGCAGGCCATGGTTTGCTGATATTTACGTTATGGGTTTTCTTTCGAGGTCTACGAGCAGTCCCTGAAAGATGAAAGATTCATCAACGTTTGGTCGTGATTCTGCAGATGCTGGAGTTGCGACTAGTATGTAGCGAATTCCGCAAGTGCAGGTCCCGCTTGGGGTATCTTGGGGGGTTTGGAATAGTGGAGAGGGAGGAGGGCACAAAAGCCATCACAGCTAGTGACGTGTATCTATAGCAGTATTCTATATTTAAGCATGAGTTTCAAAATCGTCGTTCACACTACGCTCCAGAAAAGGGGTTGTACGAATAAGCGCGATGAATCGTACTCTTTTCAGGTCAAGTTGCTCCGTCCTGCCCTCTGTCGTATTAATGACAGTGGTACATTTGTATTAATAATGAAAAATCTTTGTCGTTATTGAGGTGGACAAGGCCTGCGTTTGGAAACCATGAAGCATTAATAAAGCTATGCTACATCCGTAGGGTGATTCTAGCAAGACATTGTAGGTATACGACTTGGTAGGCTCCGAAATCAAGCAANNNAAATTTATCGCATGGCACATCCGCATACTGAATTGATAGGGGCTGAAGAACTTGTTTTCATTTCTCATGTTTGCAATATATTATATTTATCAGAACACTTGGACATGCTCGAATGGTTGCAATTCTCAATGTTGGACGGGAACTTTTTTTGAAAATGACATTTTGCTGTGATTACAAGGGTGGAAAAAAATCGACTTCCATCCTCTCAACATACTTATATTTCGGCATGATAGCGCTACAAGTTTAGGTCCAGTTTCTGAAGGGGAATATGGAATTAAACGTGAGAATCTGGGGTTGCCTCAATTCTGTTTCTGTTCCGCGGAAAACTGTTGAGGGTAATTACTGTCGTTTGAAAAGCGGTGTGCATTGAGAGGGCTGATATGCTTCAGCTTCGATAATATACGTAACACAATACAGTAATTATCTTCACTATGCTTTAATCTCTTATTTATTCTTGAGTTTTCGACTTCCCTTCCGCGCATTATGGGTCAGATAAGTAGGAATACCGCAAACACGTGCTGTACGGTGGAAGGAGTGAAAGGGCTATACCCTTCTCTTCTTTCAAGACATTGCACAAAGTCTAAACACTGCGTTCAGAGCCATTACTTGCATATTCAAACTTCTTAACCCATTGACGACCATCGTTGCAGTCCACATGTGGACTGCATGGTCCCGGACGGCCAATTTCTTTAATATTGAACTGGAAGTTGTTTAATTTTTTCTGAGTTCGAAAGTTTAGGATATGACTAACGATGATGGTAGGTGGCACTTCAATTTTAGTCAGCTAGTGATGGATTCTGATGAGGAGAAGTTCCTAATTCACTAATTCTTTTCAGAAAAAGAAATCATTGAAGGGCCACATGTTTCTTCAAAAAAACACCGGTGTGGTGTAAAACTGTCTAAATTAGTGCGGAAGGTAGATATACCCTGAAAAACAAAGGCTAAAATATAAGTATGTATGATGTCTATGCTTATTGTTATTATCTATTAATTGCAAAATTAGAAGATTTTTTGGGACCACACAGTATATAGTTTAACTTAGACCTGATCTTATGTATCGACAAGAAAGATCGTTAAAAAGTGGCGATAAATAAAATATACAACTGCAGTCCACATGTGGACTGCATGGTCGTCAATGGGTTAAACCTAGCTGGCCGCGGAACGAAACATTCTGGAACTGAAACCCTCTTGAAGGATCAAAAACAGCTAAAATTTTTCACGGCTGGGACAAACCTGCACGAAAGGTTTGCTTGACTGAATATGTTGCATACTGTATCAGGAATTACCTATCGTTGTCAAGCAGTGGGTGTGGACGTTGAGAAGGAGCAATGGGTAGAGGGGATGGGGGAGCGTCTTACAACTAGATCAGTTTTTCAAGTGTTTTCACCAATTGAAGGCTTGGCTAAATTGAAACGGAATCGAGCGTGGGCAGCATCGTGCCACAAAAGAGAAGCTATGGTGTTAGAGGTTTTTTAAGTGCTTAGGAGGGATCTTCGACAATGATGAGATATACCTAAGAAAATGCAAAACGTCTCTATTGCTCTTCAACTCAAAATTAGGACCCCGCTACGTTTTTGAATGATTTGATGCTATCATCGGTTCAGTTTAGCAGTTATTGTTGTGTTGTNCCGCATGCATTTTTGATTACTCTTCTGTAAATTTCGAATCGCACTTGACACCCCAACTTGATCTCCTTTCATTTTTTTTTCTAGAAATTTACCTCGAGGGCAAATCCTAGAGTGTAAAAGTCGTATGAAGACCCTCCTGCGCGGTGATCGCACTTATGATGCCTTTCTTCGAACGCTTTGCCTGTTGCTGATTGCACCTGTTTTTTCCCGTCTTCACCCTTTTCTATTCATTCAGCCTGCTTGAAATATTAACGTTCCATGACTCAGTATTTGTGTGCTACAGTCGCTCCGTCGTTAACACTCGCGGCTGTGGCGATTTGATTTTTTTCAAGATAATACTGGTACAGTAAAGTAATATTGTTTATTCAGGCCGACTGTTGCTGGTGAAAGTGCGGTTGGAGGTCACGTGGACGAAAGCGCCAAAGGTGGTCATGGTCGCAATTATGAAGCCGATGGTGGCTCTGCCAAAGGGAAATCACTTGGGAACATTGAGGTGCCCGGTGGCTAAACTTACGGTTTCCTTTTTATTTTGTTTGTAGAAAAAAGTTTTTTTTAGACAGGTGGAGGAGCTTCGAAGGCGGTAGAACAAAGTCAGGCGGAACAAGCTCCTGCCCCAGTTCCGAATATTGTAGAAGGTAGGGTGTAAGCTCTACGCATTTCCTTATGATATTCAATGATCATCAGCATTTTCAGGAGTACAAAATAGTATGTTTAAGAAAACTGTGGAAGGTGTGCTCAAAAAGTCTCTAGAAAATGAGCTGGTTAAGAAAGACGACAGTGAGTTATGAAAGAACTATTTTTTGTTTTATTTTTCATTATGTTGTTTTGTAATGTGCACCGAAAGTTCAATTCGCTTGTGATTTGGGAAGAAACTGATGGATTTCGGGAGGCGGACAGTAGGAACGGTTTTGTGTAATCGATCCGCCGCACGCGGCTGTCGCGGACCATTTGCCTCACAATAACAGTACTAGCGCTCTTCATACAGCTCAATCGCTATATTATTATTGTTACTATTGGCATGATTCTACCATTAATTCTTTTGTTCCTGTATTTCTTACTTGCTGCTGCACTCTGCTATATTCCTTCGCGCGCGACGTCTCTCTCGCCGCGTAACGAGAATTTCGTTCCTACTACACCACACCCATGGCTTTCTCGCCGTTTTATGTCTTTCTTCGTGGAACGCAGCTGCCGCAATACTCATGTTCGTGTTAAATTTTCTAAATACTTGTGATCCGAAAGGTCAAGTATTGAAAGACGAAAATCTCTCATATCTTCGATTTTTTCATAATTAAGAACGTGTTGTCGTGATGTGCTAGTTGCAAAACAACATCTGGTTTCGCAATTTTCCACCGAGAAATTTCTCCAAGCGCTTAGGATAATGTTGCAGCTTTAGAAAGAACTTTTCAATAAGCACGATATTTCTATTTTTTATTATGCTTAGTAACTCAGTGTTTCGCGTTGTCTCAAGTCCATATTATCTCTTTTATCTCTTGTTTTCCAAGGTCTTTTCAAAAAAGTCTATTTGTCTTTTAGTGCCAGCACAAGTAGGACAACCACCTCAGCACCCGGGTGACCGAGTCAAGTTAGCTGTTGCAGTGGATGAGCAACAGGAACAAGAACATGTTGTAGCTAAGCCAATCGTTCGAGGAGGAGACTACGAGGACAAACTGGGTTCGTATTTTTATCTCTTTATTAATTCGCGATACCCTAGGAACCTATGGATAAAAGCGGTTCGGTTCTCCAGCTGTTACATCGGCTTTGGTCCTCCCACTTCAGGCTTTATAGCCCTATGTCAGGGCAGGGCTGTAGATTATACAATTTTTCGTGTTCTAATATATACGATGGTGACGATAAAAATGGCAAGATTGAACCGCTCCTACCTATTTAGGTTCTAAGAGTAAAGTAATTTCTGTGCCTACTCCTCAGTCGGGAAACTGTGCTTTTTGAATGGTTCTTCGCTTTTCAGATGTCGAAAAGGGAATTGGAGATGATATCCAGCCAGCCTAGTCATTATTCATTCCAGTAATATCGACAGTATAATAATCAAGGCTTTATTACCCTTTCATTGTATTTGTTTTGCAATCCATTGTTGTCTACATCATTTTGTGCATTTGCGTGCCGTATTTTCTGTGATATTTTTGTTCATAGCCATGCAAATTGTTCCTACCATTGTTTCTCGATTCTGAGTAAATCTAATTTGTTTTGCATCATTTCCTTGAGAATAACGGCTGAAGCCGTGCAGAGATATCGGTCACAGAATTTTGATGTGCCGTATTAAGTATCACAAAGAAAGCTGATATTCTTCTCGATTATGAGTAGTGAGTGATGAAATTGTATATTTATGGATGTGTGTTTATTTATCATGCGAATTCAGTAAGTGCATTCCGAGTTACTTGATTTCTCTACAAAATAAATGCGGAATTTTTTGAGAAAGCTTTTCTTTTAGAGATGGGAGTGATAGTAGTTCAGAACTCCTTTACTGAGTGAATCAAAAGTTCATCTTAAGAAGCAAGAGTACTTGGTTCTTCCTTAAAAAATTTTTCATGCGATTTGGACCGGAAACAGCAAAGGGAATTTACCCCAAAGATTTTCAGGCCTAGTTTTACTAAGTTTCCCCATTCTGAAGAATCAACCTCTCAGCCAACATGACGAGGTTTTGGCATAGTTGCGCTGGCTGCTAGTTCGATATTTCGGTGAGTATAAACGATAGGTCATGGTGTTAGCGTAGTTAATTCTTTATGATCGTTTAAAGCTTCTGAAGTGGTTTCTTAGGAGCCTGCAGAAGTTACACCGACAGACTTACATCTGGTATGTTTAGATTCCCTGAGCTTTTTTGGCTTATAATTGATAAGCTTTCAGGAGTCTCGTAATGATTTTGTGACCGTACTGTTACTATGAAAGCGAGAAATAGAAAGTTATTCCCCTTGGACTGGATTACTCTGGGTAGTAATAACGAGAAGTTTTTTTTTCTTCAGCGTAGGTGTTTTTCTTGATTTTCCCGCCACAGATTAAGGGGCGCTGACTCTTATCAGTGAGCTAAGTGATTGAAGCCATCTACACCTATTTCCCATGAAAAGACGGTTTTTTAAAGTCATAGAGGACGTCTATGAACTGGCGGCTCATTTGTTTGGTTTTTTTGCTCGAACTCATCTGAGTCCCAGAAGCTCTGTGGTTTCAATTCATGAAGTAGTTTTTTGACGTTCGGATTCTGATTGTAAAACATCCATTTTGCTCTCCCGAAAAGCTTTATTTTTATAATCCATGATTGTTTGGATGGAATATTATCAACACCACACTGTGTAACAAGTTTTTCATTATTAGAAAATGCATGCTTTCCTTCGGCAATGGCAACTGCCGCAGAGGGATGATGGCATTGGATAATTATAACCCTTTCACAGATATCTGGTAACAATGGGTAAGTGATTATTGTACACTGTTTAACATTTCTTCATTTAATCGTTCACGATGACATCGCCTTTTCCTCTTCTTTCCTCATTTCCTTTTCGCAAACCTTATGTCGCCTTTTTTCGGCTGAGCTTGGATAGGAGTTTCGTTGAATTGAACCCGCTACAATTGTACTATTGCGAGAATATAGTTCTTATACAAGTAAGCGTGTCCAATTTAGTGTACCATTTAACTACAGGCTCTGTCGGGTTGAACAGCTTATAATCTGGGAAACCGCTAGGGAATCGTGGTGTGGTTTCTCCTTCTGTCGTACAAGCTCCCTTTTCTGTTTCTCATTTATATGAAGAATAGCTTGCGATCGTGGTCGTTGGATTACGTGACATCCAAGTTATACAACAAGTTATGAGGTTCATTTATTTCCGATTACCTCAAGAATGTTGATGTCGACGAAAATGAACAAATTCCTTCGAAGAAGGGTTTCCCGGTTCAAAAGAACGAGAAGATGTGTATACCCTTACTAACCATTTTGATGTTGCCATCATTCAGTCTCAATCCGTTCATGCTTGAAAGGCTTTTGAAACTTGCGAACCTCCAGAATCGCGTTCAAAAGTTGAGGTTTGGCTGTTGACCACTCGCTAAAAAATCACGAATTTTCCAAAAAGATTTTCATTTGATTCCGTAGGAAGAGTACTTACTGTATCATACTTTTCGTTGAAAATGGACGAAAATTTGTGAAGAAAACTTTACTTTGCCTCAACTTACAATTAAATTGTACAGGATGCAGCAGTCTCTCATCGATTGAGTGCTTCATATCCTGTTGATATGGAACTACCTGCAGGGAGGTTTTTAATGGTTTTTTTTACTTAATGTTGCATAGTTCTTAGTGATGCTGCATTTGTTTCGTCATGGTCGTTGTATGTCTTGACGTTTTAAATCAGTTGTAATTTGTAAGCGGAAAAATCTGGCCTCGGTCCGTTCGTGGAGCTTTGAAAAAAAAACTTTTTGTTGTTGAGTTAGGGTTTTCTTACTTGGTGCTATGAAGAATGACCGACCTATCGGGCTATTGTCAGTATCCTTAACCTTTTACGTGCACAAGATACCGTATCGTGTACGAGTTTAGGCACCCATCCGGTCATGGAGCTTGTTTCGCAGTGCAGTTCCTTTCATATTTATGGTGGGTATTCACAAGTGTTACGGTTCAGCCCGAATTCGTACCAGTCATTCGAGCTCTGATGCTTGGTGGCTAATTCAACTGTAAGTTCCCTTTTGTGTATATAGATTACGATTGTGGTTCGTACAACTTTTTCATCGAGAGGGTTAGTTTTTGTTTGATACTGAATAATGCGTTATGGCGCGTCGGTCGAGTAGGTTATCTACTATTTAGTAACATCAGTACAAAACTAAATGTTTCATTTTCATTAACAGAAAGAGCATGTGCCTTTCTATGCAAAACTAGTGTGCAGGTGAGAGAGCCTGGGCGTGGATTGCCGTAGCCTTTGACAAATATTTGATAAGTAGTAGTGTGCGATTCATGCTCACTCAATTATGCTGATCACTGAATCACTCAGACTAATAATAAGTCATATCAGTGATAATGAGAAGGTTGAGCTGAGCATCTCGATGAATTGGGGTGGTGATCTGCGGTGGAGCGCTTATCATACATCGTTCACTACATATTTCCTTGATGGCATATTCCCATATCCTAAAGATAACTGACTTTACCTGACTTTGATGCATAAACTGACAAGCTTTTGGGGCAGCATTTGGTTTCCGTTCTGTGATTTGATTTATATCGGTGCAATGAAGTTACATTCTACATCATTCTTATTCGAACTTGTTCTCGACCGACCTCACTCGATTTATCTGGTAGTGCTGAATCGTGGCTGAAGGCTTATGTTTTTCGCACTCTTACAAGCTACCGTATCTATCTCACAAAATTAATCGATGATGTCATACATCATCTTTGTTCACTGTTTTTTAGATACATCAGGATAGGATGCTGCGATTTATTAGCGTAGAATTCAAGAAAGAGCAGCCGTCATGATATTGGAGTGGTGGTTCTATGACCAGCTTCATTCCACGCTCACTGTGAGTTCTCAAGTTACGAGCATCTACGTAGATCGTTCTCTATTGCCGTGATACTCTCCATTATACAATGTTCTATTTTTAATTAACTTCATGCTATGGAAAAGCTTGATATAAAAACATAAAGGAGTCCGTGAAAAGAAACTTAGATAGAGGGACTGAGTGAAATGCATTAAATTTGTTAATTTCGGTATATTTATATGTGGGCGGAGGTGGTGTAGAGGCAAGTGGCGCACTATCTCACACGTACGGTCAGGGGGTTCGAATCTGGGATCGATATCCGTCTCACCCAACCAAGCCTTCCATCCCTCCGGGGTCGGTTGATTGGTACCAGACTTGTCTGGGAGGATAAAACCACCGATTTGTACAGCGGCTGGCCAGCGTATGTCATAGGCCACATACGCCACTACGATTATGAATGGAAGTCGAGTGTGGGGCGCATCCCTCAGATGGGATTGATTGACGCCAAAAACTTTATCCTTTATATTTATGTATGGAAAAAGAGATTGTTCTCGTGCGTTTATTACTTGATCGCCATCTGTAACTGTTGCTACATCTTATTCGTTGTCTCTTTGGTTAACGTTAAAGTTTAGTCCACGGCAGTCCATGTATTAAAACAATAATTACCAAGGTCGGTCTTCTTGAAATCGCGACATAGGCCGATGCCCTACACTGCTTAGTCTGACAGGTTTCGATTTTTTCGGCATGGGTGTTATTTAGAGAGTTGATGCGTGGATTCGAGCCACTTGATTATTTTTACAGAATTGTTTTTTTTTTCTGGAAAATAGGCTGGCTGAATTTAATCATCGGAAAAGTTCAAGGATTTTTCTTCAAGTGATATACTCGTTTGATCTCCAAAAACTGAAGTATTTAAGAGCTGGTCTGGTCGCGTTCATAGTAGCGATGCCAGTGTCGGCGTTGACCGTCGATCGATATGCATATGAAGCATTAGTGTGAATGCATCCCTGGTCTTGGAGGGCTTACTTCTCGGGCTAGACTAAACCAAGCCAATTTTCTTACATCAGATTATCGCACCGCTGCCAGTACATGTAAAAATTGTGTGTTGATAAGAGTTGTTTATTGACAGATTGCTGGTTGTATAAAAGCCTTAGATGTTCCTCCTTAGCTTCATTCGACTTGCTTGCCTGCCGCCGTTTGCTGGATATTCAGAAGCAGTAATCAGTCGTTAATCTCGTCCGAATCTGTACCTTCTCAAGTGGCAGTGAAATCCCATAATGCCGGGCAAGCCTAAAAGGAAGTCTTCGAAAAAGCGAAAGCACAAGACGAAAGGTAGCAAGAAGAGGGACCGAAGGAGTAAGGAAGGAAGAAAGCACAAAACCAAGGGGGATAAGAAGCGCAGGAAAGGATCAAGGCCGCCTCGAGAAGGAAGGGGATCTAAAAAACGACGTTCCTCAAAGAAGCATCGTAAAAGAAGTAAAAGTCCGCATGAGCAGGTCAGTGATTTGCTCCGTTACTGTCAGCGGAATTAGGCGTTTCACTTGGCAGCGATGCTGTTGGAACAGCCACATAACCACGACGTATCTCTGCTGACTCTTTTTCGGATCTGCAACTCCGCTTCATCCGGGTTTGAGTCAGTATCTCCATAGCAGTCGACTCGTCGGAATTAGTTTCAATGAGCACGACAGCTCTGGGCAGCTGAGTCGAAGCCAACCATCATGGTCTTTCAGACAGAAGGGGATTTCTGCCACTATTAGATTGAGCTCCTTGCACCGGTGTGACCCATGGGCTTGGGCGAGGCGACTGCTGTGGGCGTATCCTGACCCTTGCCCTTTCCCAGGCACTCATTACAAAAGTTCAATTACAATTTCAGCGTGAAAAACCGCGTCATCGTAAGAAGTCAAAGGAGAAGGAACCACCTGTCAATGAAATGACAGCTGCAGCGAGAAATGAGGTACAGTCGGTGTAACGGAATAAGATGCCAATGTAGCAAATGGGAACTCGGCGCATGGCTGTGGAGCGGTTGGATTCCTATACACCAAGCACAGAGACGAGAAGTTAGAAGGACAGCTTGTTTATTGTTGTCCGCCAGTGTGCCGCCTATCCAGATAAATTGTTATGCTCTCCCTTCGCACTATGCTACATGGAAATGAAAAGTCAGTAGGGGAGTCCGGCTGTAGTACTGGCTCGAGCACATGATAGGCTGCTTTCATAGTTCACGATTTTGCCCGCGAGCGAGCGATCGCGCTATAGGGGCGGCGCTTACCCGCGGTTCTGAACAAGATCCAGCGCTTGATCGCTCGCTCGCTCGCTCGCGGGTCAATCGTGGACTATGAAAGCAGCCATAGTGGTGCAACACTAGTTGGCCAGCCCGTCCTCACTTGATATTGCCTGAGATTCGTTTTTGGATAAGAAGTATGGGCGACGTGATTCGGATGTGTCCATTCAAAGAAACCCATGCCGCGGAATGAAGCATTGTGAAAGCCGGTGCTGAAAGGTGAATTTCTTCGATGTCTGCAATGCTTGATAGCTCTACGGTCCTTTTCAGACCTCGATCAGAGGGTGTCTACTTTGCTGCAGTGGTGAGAATTCGGCAGTAGGTAGTGGTAGACGATGGTAGGATTCATAGCAACAACTACATCCATTTAAACTGCCCTGGAACTTTGCCGGGGTGTAACGTACCTGGTCCCATTCGGAAATCAGTGACTCGGCTGAGGGCTCCCGCACCCGAACGATGTGCCGCGTTAACCGCATCCGTTCGTGTAAGTTCGCGCAATTTGAAGGGGAAGAGAATGGAATAACCGGTGGACGACTACGGTTATCGCTGCGATACCACTGCCGTTCAGGTGAGGATTCGAGTACAAGAACCGCCACCCCAGTGAACCGCTACTGATGGTTGTGACGGCGGGGACACGGTAGATGTCGAAAGTTGGCAGTGGACCAATGCGAAGTCTGTATGAGTCAATGAAGGTAGTCTCTGAACCTCGAGGACGAGGAGAAGGGAAATGCCATGGCCCATGAAACGAGATGGCCGCTCCATGGCTGCGCGCATGATATTTACGCTCTTGGTCAATACTTTAGTATTAAATAATGGCAGTTTTACAAGAATGAACGTTTGAACTAATGTCATTAACATCTTGATCAGTGAGCAATCTTCTTTAGGATCTGGGTAACATTGTACTGGTGAAGAATCGTCACAAAGTTCAACAACAAAGAGGCAGTAAAGAAGGAATTCCTCAGGAACCTCCGATGGGAGCCTACATACGTGATTGATTTTCTCAGTTCTTCGAACAGGGATAGTCTAAAAGCTTTCACAGCACGAGGCGTTCCTCATTCTCTTGTAAACGATTATGATTTTTCCCAATCGTTGAAATGTGGAAAATTTGGGGCATACCTTTGGTGTCTGGACGAGGAATCACAAACTTTAGGACTTTCGTGGTACTGGCCTCGAATTCCTGCAAAACAAGCGCTTTAGGGTCTCAAACTCTGAAGCGAAAGCATGTTTTACTTGTATAGCAAGTAGCACTGCATTTGTTTCTTGGAACGAGCTAACCAATAAAGGGTAGCCAACTTCCAAGGAACTTTGTTTGGAGGCCTAGGTATGGGATAGATACATAGACCAAAGCATGAATAGTCAAGGATGAAGACTTTGGCGTCAATCATTCACATCTTTGGGATACGCCCCGCATTTGACTTCCACCTGGAATCGGTGCTGAATGCGTTTTTGGCTTGAACAACGACTATAGATGACCAACTGGTGTGCGAGTCAGTGCTTTTATCTCCCAAACGGTCTAGTACCGATTGATTAACTCGGAGGCCGACTTAGTTGGCCTGGACAGACATCGAATTGTTGGGTGGGATTCGATCGAAGCAGTTCGTGTGTGGTGGTGCGCCCCTTGCCACTTCACCCTCCCTCTCCTAGTTATACGGAGGTCCCCATCCAAGGTTTCATGAGAAGTTGACAGTACTTCCCTTGTAAGTAATCAGCGAATTCCAATCGATTGAATCAATAAAGGAAACGGTGAATGGGTAGAACTCCTAGGCGTTGGAAGGGAGTAGAAAGAAAAGAAGCAATCGATACGCACTAAATCCATTTGGCAATTTTTTGCAATTCTTGTATTTCTGCGGTTACCCGAATCTCACAAAACGCCCAGCAATCGGAACCAATCGATCAATTTGTATTTGATACATTACATAGTTTCTTGAACTTACTACACCATAGCGAGGAATAAGTATGTAGTACATTGTGGCGATTTCAGAAGGGCCTGCACCTCCGCCTCCCCGACAACGACCAAGATTTGATGTGAGCATCACGCTCTTTAGATTTCTTTCAGAACCTTAAGGTCAGATCGAATATGTTTAGGCACAAGCACCAGGTGGCCCTTCTAGCGGTCCGTCGTCAGGTCAGAAGTCAGGAGAGCCGATGGCACCGAGAAGTGATCAACAACAACCTGGTAAGTACTGAATCCTGCCTGCTTTCTCATATTGTGCCCTCTTCCAGTTGAGAAGGTACCTTCATTTCAGAAATGCGATATCCACCCATGGAACAGCCACCTTCTGATATGAAGATGCCGCTACCACAGGAAGCCGGATTTGTAGCGGCTCCTGCCCCCGCACCGACTACGATTCCTATAACCGTAGCTCCGGCAACGGGACCGCCACCATCAATGGGGGCACCGCCGTCAAGGGAGCCAAGGGAGGCACCACAGGCACCACCGTCAACTGGAGCACCACCAGTTATGGCTCCTACACCGTCTACATCAACCTCCGTAACAACTGGAACGACCGTTCCTACCACGATCCCTACTACTACTGGCGCTCCTTCAGATACGTACGGAACGGGCCCTCAGTTACCTACCCCACCTACTCCTACATCACAACAGTTTCCATCGGATGAATTAACAAAGAAGGAGGCAGAAGGTTGGTAATGAACGAATACTTCTGTAACGTTCTCCGGTCGGCTGAGTTTTTCTCAAATGGCTGCTTTCATAGTCCGCGATTTGGCCCGCGAGCGCGCAAGCGAGCGACGGGCACGGCGCTTGGCCCTTGTTCATAACTGAAACTTGGTCGATCCCGCCGGACGAGTAGTCCCCCTGTGCTCGCTTGTCGCTCTCGCGCTCGCGGGCCAAATCGCGGACTATGAAAGCAGCCAATGACTTTTAGGGTAGTGCAGCTCTTACCATAATGAGTGGACGTCAGTCTTGATGTTAGCTGCGCAACCGCAAGCTTGCTTTAGCAATTAGTAGTGATGTAGATTGAACTACGGTGCAGTTCCAGAGAAACATGCCGATAAAGGGCAAAAATGGAAAACATATATGGAAAAGGCGCTGGAGGGAGGTGTGGAGGGCATGAACGTGGGTCTTTTCTACGAATCCTCGACTTTTTCCTTGAAATATCGAAATCGCTTCAGAATGAGTTCCGTTCTATTCGTGGATATTTGCCTCCCATGGCGACGCGGATTGGTTTCGATGCAAATCCTGAAAAGAACCGTTTTGAAGGTATCTGTAAGATCTTACTCATTGTCGTGAGTCTGTACAGAGAGGGCAGGAAGTTCCCGTGTAGAGGTCCAGCCTTTGAAGTTTGTCAAGCATGGCTCGAGGATCCTTTAGAACCCTAGCTAGGCCGCAAAGTCCCACGTGCTTTCCTTGAGGGAACAAGTTTATGTAGGGTGGAGCTTCGAAACCCAATTTCATCATTAACTGTTCCTGCTTCTTCATAAAGCGCCCCTTCAGATATTGTATGCATTGATCAGACTCGGGTACGACTCAGTACTGGTGCTTACATACATGCAAATTGGGTAAATATTGCACCTGGTAAGAAAGTGAGTAGTTGGTTTCGTATAATACCTAGGAATTGCAATTCTTAGTAAAAAAAAACATTTTAGGCTATCGTCACACAGCTCCCAAATGTAGAAAGTGGAGCCGATTTTTGGCAAATGGTGTTAGACGTCGATGCACAAGGGATTCTCCTTTTTCTGACTCATGCCGAATTCACTATGTTCAATGCTAGTAGCATATTCCCGGCTGAACAGTGAGTGAAAAGCGATTTGGATTGACTTGACAAATTACTAGGAATAGCTGGTCCGCCGTAGTTGATGGGTTGTTGCAGAACCCTCACATGAGCAGTGGGTTGTGAAGTTATTTTCAACATTGTGATGAATTGTGAGCATTATTAGATGCTCACGAAGGACGGGCCAAGAAGGGTCACCGCCTCTGTTATCGCTTGAACACGCCCTAGAGAGACTTTTAGAAGTTCTTTTCCTCTCATCTCTACTCCTACCCTGAATCTGACAAATCTTATAAGGACCCACCTAGAGCTGGTTCTTATTCGACAACTCGCTGTTTATTCCTACCCATACATTTTCCGTTTCCACATTTTTGGTCTGTCTCGGGAATGATCTGGTGCTAAATTTTGCTTCGCCGGTTTGTTCCACCCACAGAAGAGCTATGGTGGATTGGGGTAACTTTCACATGACATCTCCCATGCTCCACAGTTCAGCTCATCTCGCCCAGGTCTTTTAGATTTTATTTATTTTAGATGGCTCATTTACATGGTGGAAACTTCGAGAAACGTGATAGCTTTTACCGGTAACTCTTCAGGGACTTTTTGCATTTCGACGGAAGTCATGTACGAGTCGGAGAATTCAAACGAGTGGTAATCGATCGTGAGTGGACAATGCATGTGATCTCGGTCAGAAGCAAAAATCAGAGAAAGTTAGTCCGCGAGCCAGTATGAATGTTCAAAAATAACCGCTCAATTTCAAGGTACGTTCATGTGCATCACTACTCTGGGTGGACCCATGGAAAACAGCCTGGCCGGCTCATAGACTTGTGGCAACTACAATCTGTGTTCAGGTAGTGTGTTCAGACAGTACGGGTAGTTGCTTGCTCTAATGATTGGTCCTTTTTTACAGAAGATATACCCACCCACACATCTACATGAGCCTATCTGGTTGTGGTCGAGCTGGCACTTTTGCTACATTCCAGGCAAGACCCTTAGCTTCTTCCCCTTTGATAGATATATCAGGCAAAGTTATCTAGTGTAGTGACAACTCATTGACATTGGAAATGAATGTTATAACGGGTGTACGGAACCATAGATCTATTCCAGTTCTGCAAGGAAAGCTGGGTAGTAGTAGGCCCAACTGGTATGTTTCCAACAGGTGGTCGATTGCACTGTATAGCACTGTGGAGCAAGGCTTTCCCTCAGAATCATCAGTTGTGCAGTAGAGAACACTAGTAGAGTTTAGAAGTCAGCGGAGCGCTCGCAGCTGTCAGTCTACGTGGTGATCCGTCAGTTCAGGCCTCGTATAGCTCTGTACGGCCTGAAAAGTCGAGACCACGCCAATTTCCGTTCATCTAATAAGCCATAAAGAACTACATTTCGTAGAACACTAATTAAAAATTATACTTAAGTCAGGTAGTACTAAAAAATACATGAATCTTTTGGTTCGTTTCGCCTCTTAGTCATACGAACCAAAATCTGTCATCACCCGAGGCTCGTCAGTGACTAAGTGATGACAAAAAAAGAAATGGGTAAATACGGTCTGTTGTCTGAGAAGTTGTCTGAGAAAGATACGCAAAAAAGAAAAAAAANAAAAAAAATCAAGTCAAGTAGATGAGTAGTAGTCAAGAAGAGGAGGAATATGGAACTCCTCCCACAGGAGGTGTCTGGTCGTGTTGGATTGAGGGGATGAGGGTCTCTTCGGAGAGTTCAAACCCTAACAATATTGGGTGGGTAATATTACTCATTCGTCAATATTTATTGTTGCAAGCTATCCTTCATGTGGAGCTTCTATGAAAGCCTGAATATTGGGCTGCCGGTACTAGTGTTTGTTTGACGTCACAATTTTCTGGTCGGTAGCCGCTTTATTCACTAAAACATGTCGGGTCGGGACCGCTAGATTTTCAATCCCTTGGCATAATCGACAGAGTCCCTGACCGGAGACGGAATCAAGATTGTCCTATGCACTTGCGTGAATTGAGAAATTCGAAGATTGCCCTTTGCACAGCACATTGATTGACGCTTTGCGTGTTCTTCCTGTATGCGCAGAGTTCAAATCTCTCGCAGAGAGGTAGTTCAAGACAGGAAGGGCAGCAGAATCAAAACGATGGAGACGGAGCTGGGTGTTCATTGTCCTCTTCGTTACTCCTTCGATGTTCTCGAATGCTTCTCATGTCCTTTCCTTCCTTCTGGGAATTCACATCACTCATCTCACTGATTTCCTAATCTATGAACACGTACCTGGATCACCTAAAGATTTGGTCTTATAAAACACATAGCAGGTTTATTCCCCTTGAACATAGCCTTTGGTAAGTTCAGTTGTGAGCTTCTTTGAAGAGACACTGCCTAATACGGCCATTATTCGTTTACCCGTTAGGCTTTCGGTGTTATGATGTCTATTGCAGAAGGAACGTGGTCATGCTGGTGTTCGTCAACCTTCGTTCCCATGTCTTGTCCCTCCGATTGATGTATGACCTTTCAAGAGCGGCACTGAAAGTTTTGATTGAGACAGTATTATCCTTTCCAGCCTCTCCGCCCACCCTCTCGTCAATGATGACCTTTTCGTAGAACGGTTAGATTCTGATCGCGATGATGCTGAAGAGTTCTCGAAGTATCGTGACATACTGATGGGTAGGAAGATTTTGATTGCTCAGGAACTTGCATAATCGCTTCTGTTGGCTTCTCGTGCTCTCTTTGAGGTAGCATGGATGTGTGAACTCTTCGCCGTCGCGGCTATATAAGAAGAGCTCAGGTCTTTCATCCAGTTTTCCTCCAGTACTGTCGTGGATCGCTCGTACGAAAAGCTTGAACATTATAGACGGCAAGCAGGCTGGGCAACAGATGTAGCTCGCACGACCATTCGCTGGCGGATCAGTTCGAGAGTTTTCNCTTTCATCCAGTTTTCCTCCAGCACTGTCGTGGATCGCTCGTACGAAAAGCTTGAACATTATAGACGGCAAGCAGGCTGGGTAACAGATGTAGCTCGCACGACCATTCGCTGGCGGATCAGTTCGAGAGTTTTCAAAGACAGAAGAGTTTTATAGACTCTGCCTTCTTAGCACAGTTGCGAAGATGTTGGGCGAATGGATTCTCAATGGACTTGTGGCGGGTTCTCAATGACTGATTGGTGAGTATCAAAGTAGTTGATAAAAGAACCTCCGATAAACTTGCATGGAAAGCAATGTAATCCTAATTCATCAGCGGTTAGGATCCCCATTTGTGAAATTGACACCTCCGAGTTCATACGGGGCCAAAACTCCAATCTTTCACCTGAACGAAATCGGCCTGCGTAAGTAAAGACTAAAGATTTTGCCGTGCGTTGGAGCAGATCGATGATCATTGGAACATCAATTTTTCTGAAGCGGAGTTAACAAGGTCCTATATAAGCCGGAGAAATGGCACACAAACTTCAACCAAACAGGACGGAATGCTTCCTCGGTGACACATTGAGGACAAGCCGAAAATTGTTGCGCTATTGCTTCACGGGCCGGTTCTTTTGCTGCGCAACGAGGACGTTTACTTGTATACAAGCCTTTCATAATCATTGCTTGCATTTATACTATGCGTTGTCCAATGAGCGACATGTTCAGCATTTAAAGTGCTCAAACCTGCAAGCAACCAATGTGAAAGCTGTAATGTCAGCATACGAAACACGGCGAAGCAGGACATGCCTATTTGAGGCTTCAAAGATTTAAGTCGCATGGGTTATCTATCACGAAATGCATCTATCAACGTCAGTGCCGACGTCCACGGCACGCCTATCGCCCGCCGCCCGTCGCCCGTCTCCCATTCGACGAAGCTAAGTATAAATGCAGCCAATCTAAAGTGGGAAGTGGTCGCATCTGATAGCTTTTTGTTCTCTCACCATGCCTCCAGAACGCTCGCCCTATTCAACCATCTGGACCTTTTCTTCACTACTTCCTCTTAGTCTTCCAGCTAAACGATTCTTTCAGATAGCCCACGAACGCCTTCACTCAGATAATGCTCAACGTCTGGCGATATCTGATTGTGTGTGTCGGGCTCGTCAAGGCCGAATGCATGCTGTTCAACGTGACACACAAATGCTAACCATACATGCGGCTATTATGGAACACATAATGTCAACTGTTAGTCACTTTTGTTTTTGTGGCATTCTAATCGTTGTGAATCATCGTTTTACAGAAATTCTCCGTTCAATTGCAACCGAAGACCATTCAAAAGTATGGAGAGTTTATAGATCTATTTGTAAAAAATTCCGAGGGACAGGAAATTCTCCCATGACGACGTGATTCCACTACCCAATCTACGCTCTCTCAAATTATTTCCGTTCCTTTCAACAGTAAACATCGCGCACGTTCAACTCTGGTCTTGAGTGGAAGTACTCATTTGTCCAACAAAATTTTTTTGTTGAATAAAGCGTTGATGTTGATTTTGCCCTTGCATTTTTGTGAAAGGAACAAACCTAAAGTACTTTGAATGTGTGTACTTACTGTTCTGTGAATCGTATGTGTCTATCCATTATCCAATGTATTTGGTAGTGTCGTGAATATGACGTTCACCTTCGAATCTGGTGCAGAGTTAGTCAGTTCGCATGGTAATCATCAAAAGTAACTTTATGTTCATGGTATATATGCAGAATAGTTACTGTTATTGTCGACTAAAACGTGGAGTAAGATGGGCGTGGCCCAGAATTTGATTTGGAGAGAGAGATAGAACATAGCTAAAACGTGGAGTAAGATGGGCGTGGCCCAGAATTTGATTTGGAGAGAGAGATAGAACATAGGTTGGGTAGTATATCTTTCTCGTGGTCTTCAATACATTGCTGTCAACCTCTTGTCTGCAGCGCTTTTTTGTCCTATCGAATGAGTACCACAAGCTATTTATTTCACAGATCTCTGGCGGTAGTTTGGCCTTTTACTGGGTTCCCATTCTTCTGAAATTCCCCACTGTAAGCATCGATTGTTTGGAAT